ACCACTAATACAGGATTGATTTAAGATAGATAAAAACAAAAACGTATTGAATCAATAGAATAAATGTATGAGATATTGTCTCCATCATCCTAATTTGAAGTCTTCCAAACGCTAAGCATATTAATAACTGGACATTGTTCATTGTATGGCTCAAAAGTGTTCTCAATGGAATGCACAAATCCATTCACTATGTTTCATATCTTAAATTCATTAAATTCTTGTTATTCTTCCTTTAACATATTTCTGTCCATTGTAGTGCGTACTTTGTGTACTTTGAAGTGAGACAATTTAAACTGTTTCACTTTTATACAAAGTTCTGAGCTGAAAATTCAGGTTCAGTTTATCATTTTATTAACAAACACACATTCAATACTTAGACAGATATGTATACCAGTGTAGAATATAACTTAGAAGATGAGGAATTAGAGTTACAATCATTATTCTTCACATACACACAAAAACGTTCACATATGGGAACAGTAAACATGAAAATATCAGCATGAAATAGAAACTATTTGAACTTCTGAAATACAGGAAGTAAACAAAAATAGAGATAATAGTAATATTAGTGATAACAATAATAAACAAGAAACGGCATTGGCTGACTCACTGACTAGTTTCAACGTAGAACTTTGCACAGATGTGCATCAGTTCGAGTTGCCACTCTCACTCCTCGTAGCACAAAAACCAAGAGAGTAAAAAGTAAAGAAAGATAATAAACAGAAGTGTGAGTGACGGAAAAAGAATAATAATATGGAAGAATAAAATAATTTTTTTTAGATATTATAAGTCACAAAGAGTGGATGCGTCTGCGCCAGCTATTCAGAACGATTTTGAGCCGTATCATCAATTGTTTCCAGCTTTCATTTGTTTGTGTCATCCTAACGAACCCAACCAGTCAGGAAGCCAGTGTTCACCTCCCTACATAGCTGGCTGGCTGGCTTAAACTAACTTTTGTGGATTTCATCGACTGAGTGATGAAGCCATGTTTCAGTTTGACCACCACTAGACAACTCCTTTCCAACCTGATCTATCCTATGTCAACTAACATTGACTGTCGGTCGAGAAAGGCGATGGCTAGGCTAGGAATGCGTAACACATGTCTTAACCATCTCAATCTGTGTAACCACACAGCCTCGTCTATTGATTTCGCCTCCTTACCTAGCTATCACTCTACCCAAAGCCTAACCTCATTACTACACACCGTATTATACTACTTCACACGGGAGTTAGAACGCAGATACACATAATCAAAGATAGCTAACTAGCCTTTTCATGTCTTCCACTTTCGATGACCATGTCTGTCTCACAGCTGTCATAAAAGAAGAGGGCAGAGCGAACTTTTGAGCAGTACACACGCCATTCGGTCGACAGCCAGCTAGCCGGATATCACGTCTACTACGGTAGAGGTAGTGTAAGTTGGCATGTAAATGCCAAACGAGTCTTCTGTATCGGTGGTGAGATTTCGTGATCAATCAACTCACTGTCACTGGTTGATTCAAACTCTCGAATAAGTGAAGTGGTCAACACGCCCCACCAACCACTTCACTCCTGCCTATTTTTTAAACTAGGAGTCAATGTAGTTCAGTCAGTCGTATAGCATCATCATACATTTGACAGAAGGAGTGAATCATATGCGAAACATTCTCATATTGCAGGTCAGTGTGCTCAGAAGACTGTGCATTCTGCCAGAGTCTCCACCTAGTAGATAGGACTATATCATCTGAATATTCTGAGTCAAGGAGATTATTCCCTGACGGTAAGGAGTCAATCCGTGAGTCGCTGAAGTCAATTATGGTTAAGTCTGTTAATTCATCTATGATGAAATTGAAGACAGATGGGGACAGTGGGCATTCCTGAAGGACAACACTAGTTCTAGGGGCTTTAAACAAGAGGGTAAAACAAATATATCTATTTTTGATGATAGGAGACATATTTATCCAAGATTATATGTACAAATGCATCAGTTCTACTTGTCACCCTTTAAATAAACAACATAAAGAGTAGAACAGATAAAGAATGACAACAGAGTAGATAAACAGTCAGTTACTAAAGTATTAATGTTGTGCTTAGATATAAACACGCCTGAGAGTAATAACAACTAAAAGGTTAAAACACAACTCAATCCCATCCACCAAAAAATAAAAGAATTATAAAAGTGACAATTTAAAAGAAAAAAGGTGGATTTACCGTCTGAATTAAATCTATACAGTGTTCGATGTGATTTCCGACGTTCTACACAGAAGGTAAAGTATATTAGTAGGTGTAATGTTCCAGAAAAAGAAACATTCATTTAGTATTAACATTTTTTTAATAAATAAATTAAAAATAGAGTAAGTGACAAACATCACCCCCCATCGCAAAAAAAAGAACCAGAAAAAAATTAGTGGAGAATATATCAGGCAGCGCATTCATATGCATATATGAATATGTTTTAATATGTTTAATGTGTTAGTAGTAGCATGCACAATGCATGAAGTACACACGCATACACATAAATGCATATAGAGCATTATATATAGAATTAATCATTTATTGCGGAAAACAAAAACGAAAGTATTTGTCACAAGCAGAAAATGTACAGCCAACAAATGTATGTAGAGAGAGAGAGAGAGGGTAGGAGTAAACCAGAATATATAGCGACAGATAGGAATTTAAAAGAAAAACACAAAAAACGAAGGTTTGTACCCATACACACACAGATGCATGCATACATTTTCATAGGCAGCACAATACAATACACGGCATAAAAAAGGAGAAAAAGAGAAACAGGAAAAACACAGTATTATTATTATTAGGAAGCATTAAATAAGGAATTGAAAAATCACATATATGATAAACAAGTGTATCATTAAGAATTTTTATTCTTATTCTTCTCTTGCTATTAATCAGCATAATTCCGCTTCTTAATTACACACACACTTAAGAAAAATTAAGATTAAATTGTGTTAGACCGAAAAATACGCTTGTGTTATCAACATGTACCGTGTGTAGACACACACACAGTAGCACAGGTGGCGGAGATTCAGCAGTGAACGAAATTTTTCGCGTGTTATTCATTGTTGTGCTTTTCTTTTCTTTTCTTTTTTGTTGTTGAAATTTAACTGCAGTTATTACTGAATTTTACTATTATATTTTATAAATGCGTAATCGTAGGGAAACAACAGCGGGAAAAAAACAATAGATGTAAGCTAACTCCACTTTCGATATGTTGAACAACAACACTAACCTGTTGATAAAGTTTTGAATAGCATAGACACCAATCCATCAAACGATGATGTTTCTATACGCACACACACACAAACAGACACACGCACGCACAGAACGCAGATATAACATGAAATGAAACAATGTTTATATAAACAAAACAACATTTTTATGCTTTTCATTGTTGTCTCAATTTATCAGATGAATAAATTTTACACTTCAATAACAATTATATTATGCGTAACATATCACTTCACTGACTGGATATACGAACAGATTCATACATATTATAATACTCAAGTATACCTCTCACTCGAAAAAACTTTCGCAGACGGCGTTAGAAGCAAAATACTAAGCCGCATTATTCTGGAGAGAATAAAACAAGCCAACCTGGATGAAAAACTTCGACCAGAACAAGCTGGATTCAGGAGAAACAAGTCATGTATTGATCAAATCGCCACTATACGGATCATCAATGAACAAAGCTTGGAATGGCGTTAGACATCAAAGTGATGAATTGAAGAGACTGAAAAGAAACAACTGTCAGTGACAGTTACTGATAGTGAATTTATACCAATTATAATTTGTTAAATTTTAGTGCCACCACCTTTTTTATTCATAAAGATATCCAAAAAACGTCGCTTGTTTTTCGTCTAATCTAGTACTACTGTAGCGTGTGCTACTGATAAGATTTATCAGTAGTGTGGTGAGAGCTGGCTGCTAGCCAAAAATAGCTAGACAGTAATTTACGTCAATGTCTACGTCCCCAATATTGGTCATGAGAAAAATAAGAACAAAGAATGATTCAACAACCAACCACAGCAGACTTTGCGTAGGCGGACACAGTTAGCAGCATATAGATGATCGGACATGAAAGATGAACTTTCAGTGGGAAACAACCAATCAGAAGACTTTGTTTTTCTGCCAACAATAATCTATAATAATGTACACGAAAATCTATAAATATGTGTTGATTTCCTTAGTAAACGATCTGTTGCCTAGCCCTTGTCTTCTGCTGTTACAGTAGTACATAAAGAGACGTTCATCAATATAAAAATTGCAAGGAGACAGATTTGACATCAATTAGGGCAAATGATTCAGCGTCGCGGAAAACCCTGGGAGACGTCAAAATGAAGGCAAAAAAACAAACACACTACGAAGGACACAAGTAGCACAACACCGAAGATCTGTGCAAATGATGACTTGGAGATAAGGTGTACGTAATTTCACTATATAGAGATACTAAATTCCAAGTAAACACTTCTTTACTAAGTGTCTTGTCTTTTACCGCTACACTACTAACTACTACAAGGTACTTTATAAAGTAGTACTAACTTCGTAGTCCAGCATAGAAATTATGGGGGTGCGAGTGGATTGCACGTACAAAACAACGGAGAAAGTTTAATAGGATTTCTACAGATAGGCCTCAGTCAAATTTGCCAGTAATACAGTCAGACTTCTCAAATAGTTGATAATGAGATAAGGTTATCAAGTCCATTGGAGAATGCCCAGAAACCCTACGCGTCTAGCTGAAGCTTTAAAAACTGTCAATGCTAAGAAAACTAAGGAAAGTCCTTAAAAGAAAGAGGAACACTACTACTACTACTACTACTACTACTACTACACATATCGTCAAACCATTAATACAACAACATCCTCAACAGAAAAAAAGCACAGAGTTTCATCAAAATTACAGAAACGCTTCTGACTGTACAAAACAGACAAGTGCGATGGAAAAACAAGACGGTATTAGGATAAAATAATAACAATAAAAGAGTAATGATAATAATTACTTGTTGATAATTTGGCATCATTGAATCGATGATTTTGTCCATCAGCTGTATTTGTTAAATTGCCTTCATCAATTGAATTTCTATTGAAATGTTCATCTGTTGAATGAATAGCTGTTAATGAACCAGATATAGGATGAGGTTTACGTGGATGTGCTAATGGTGGTAGAGCATCAGGTCTACTGGTTGGTGCTAAATAATTTGAACGTGATTGTTGCAATAGACTACGTGCTTTAGCCAACATATGCTCATAATTCATTAGAGGAATTTTCTATTATAATTTTTTTTCCCAATAGAAATACAAAAGAAGAATATGGGCAAAAAATTAGGATGATAATTAGGAAGAAATAAATTAATTTTCAGGGGATACATAACTTTTTCTGTCTAACACACTATAATACATTTTGGAGACCAAAGTGTAGGGTATAGGGAATAACGTCTTTTTATAGATGTCATTCCTGAGATTGTTGTTCCAAAATTAAAACTGACGAGGTTACCTTATAAAAAAATGCTTTAAAGTTATGCTGTAAGTATCCAAAATGGCGTACGAGTCTACGAAAGATTTTACTAATTGTGATAGAAATTCAAAATGCATCAGTAACTAATAAACGCCAAATCAATGAGGGTAGACTAAGAATAAAGAAAATTGTCTTATATGTTGATGGCTAGACAGTAAATTCAACGACTTGAATGTAATTGTATTCCACTGTGTGATAGACTTCTCCCATCTAGACTCAAAACTAGCATTGATTGTTTGAAAGTGTACAACACGCTAAGACAACCACTACTTTTTGTGCAATTAATATTATTTATTATTTACACCTATGCTTATGATTGCCTGACTACTTTACTGTATTGAATCGATAAGTAAGTATCTTTTGGTACAAGTGGGGGTATATGAACAGATATATTGTTATTATTTGGTTTGATGACAATGCTAGCAGTGGAATTATACACGCTTGTTTTTGATGAAAAATTTTAAATATGTTGCAAAATAATCTCACTAATAATGAGAAGATGAAAGAGTGCATGCTGTTTGTGTGTAGTTACATCAAGCAAGTATACTTAATCTTTAAAGATCCAGAAACAAAAACTCCAACCATAAATAGTTACCCGTTTGAAAAAATACCCTGAATATTCTCAAATATCAACCCCCCCCCCAAAAAAAAAGACATGATATGTGGTGCCAATCAACATTCTCAGGTGAAATATCCTCAAGGAGATAGGGAAACTTCCACCTTTGAAGTTCTAATTTCCACTTAGGACTCAAGGAATGAAAAAAAGGTTCTAAGGACTCTAAAGGTCAAGATTTATCATTGACAATACACTGCTAACCAACCACTCTGTAGAGTATTTATCACCACTTTTCCTGTTTTAAACTGGATAGTGATAAATATTTATCACGTTAGGAAAAAGAAAGAAGATTACTGCCTTTAAATTTCTATCTTCAAAAAATATTAGGTACATCGGAAATCACCAATGATATTCCTAATTGTGTTGGACTGGATTATGAGTCAGATAGTGGAGTGCAAAACGAGAAGACAAGGATATCCTGGACCGACCGAGGTGAAGAACCTAGAAGACCTGGATTTCGCGCGTGGATGATTTATGCTTGATGTCACACAAAATCGAAGACTTACAAGCGAAAACCGACAAACTGGTCAAAGAAGCAGCCGGCGAAGACAGGACTCCAGGTCAACACGGACAAGACGGAGGTTATAAAAATAACCAACCAACCAACCAACAACAACAACAACAGCAGCAACATCCAGTGCCAATCACCATCAACCAGAGAGATTTGAAAGAGGTTACTTCATTCACTTATCTTATCTAGGGAGCATTGTCTCAACTACAGGAAGTTGGAACGGACGAGGATGTCAAATCGAGTGAGAAACACATTCATCAACCTGAAACCAATCTGGAAATCTTCCTCACTCAGCCATCATCAACAACAAAATTCAGTCGGATTTTCAATACAAACGTCAAGTCAGTCAGTTCTTCTATACGGATCAGAAACTTGGAGGGTCACAAAGAATATTTCCAACAGCCTGTTGCAGACCTTTATTAACAACTGTCTTCGTTCTATACTGAAGATCAGATGGCCGGAAAGAATCACCAACAAAGAACTATGGGAACAAACAAGGCAAGAACCAATCGCCAACCAAAAAATATGCAGGAGAAAGTGGAGGTGGATTGGGTGACATCGCGCGTCAGGCCATTGGTCGAGTGGAACCCGACAGAATGGGAAGCGGCGAGTGGGACGTCCAAGGGTGACATGGAGGAGATCGTGTGAAGAGAGAGGAGTTGAAACAGTATTGACCCACATGGATGCAGGCGAAAAGTACAGCAGAAGACATAAGCAAGTGGAGACGTGCAGTTTAAGCCCTATGTTCCACTAGGAACCCAAGGGAATAATAATAATAAAATCGGAAATCTGTGTTTCTCATCTGGAAATGATTAATGAGTGTAAATATTCATGTTTGAGTATCTTCCCGACATAAATTTAAATCAATACCCTATCTTTTAAGTCTATAAATATTAAACCCAGGTTTGAACAGAAGATATTTAAACAAATTTTACACAGACAAATCGTAGTATTATCGATGAGATTACTTGAAGTAACCTTAGATTGGCAGATTGATACTGACGAAAGCAGTTATAATTAAAGATGAAATGCTAACCTAAATTTTGGCACAAGAACTGAACCAGTAACCTCCAGATTACTAACCTTTTCTAATTCTGTGTGGAACATAGAGCTTCGAGCTTTGGAGTTTTAGGGGCATTGTTCTTATGGGTTGCTAGCGTTACGCCCCAACTTCTTCCCCTTTTTTGATTACAGCTTGATTCCACACCGTATTTTTGGTACAAGTATGGAATTTTCAGCATGTGATATCGGTAGCCCAAATTTTGCAGACCGACCATAGATATCAGGTGTTCGTCAGCAGGGCCCACACAGCAGACTAGGTGAGGTTTAGGCGTGTATCGGCCTGGAATCGAAACCAAACATCTCAGTAATCGGCAAGCATCATACCATTAAAACCAATGATACACAGATTACTAGTCCAACATTCATTAAATCACAATCGGTGTGTGTCGATTCAAGGCTATCTCACATAGTTAAACTACCAATTAACAGTATGCTTCCCTTGCCGAAATTCTATGCAATTATAATTTTGCAGGAGAAGACCTAGCTGACTAGCTGATGAGATGACCTTAAACATGTATATGAAGGCTGGACTGGGCATGACATGACGATTGCAGGAGAATGATAACCTGGTTATCAATTGGATCGTCTCGTAGCTTAGCTATAGTAGAACTAACATAATACATGAAATGAACTTATTAAGTGCACTTATCATTATAAAATCTCATTTCTAAAGTAGATAAGTGTTAATAAAATAAAGAAAAAGAAATTAAACAACGTGGATCAATTAGTCTGTAACTTAGTTTATTTGAGTATGATGATAGCTTAATAGAACTTGTGTATATTGTAGAAATCACCTAATAATCAAAAACTAAAGCTATAAAGAACTATAATTATAATTATTGACTAAAGTAAAATTGATAATAACAGAGTGATAATAGTTATTAATTAAGAAAAAGAGATTTATAAATAGAATTACTTTTTTAATGGGGGTTGATGTTACAGGCTTGTCTGCATGATGATTCAAGTTCTCCTCTGTACCATTTAATTTTTCATCTGTTGAATCATTAATTTGTTCAGGATGATTATTCGTTGTTTGAGATGTTATTGACCTATAAGGGAAACAAGAAAAAAAGAAGGACTGAAATTAGAACTGTATGAAATCAAGTATTTAAAAGTAGCAGTAAGTAGTACAACATTAGAGCATTTCATGGTTGTACTGTGACATATTTTGCATGTTCACTTATACTACTATTATTTTCTGCCACTGAAAATAAATATCAGCAGTTAATTCACGATAATATTTTCATTGAAATTTGCTAAATACGGAAAATGTGATGAGAAGACAGAAAACAAACAACGATGACATCGTATGTCATGACGTAATCAATAAAATGACAAATCTAAAGCATAGATATAAAAATGACGCGAAGTCGAGGGACATTTGTCTGACACGTAAAATATTCTTCTTAAAAAAATACAACGAAAATTAGGTCGACTACTGCCAATCACTTACCTACCATTCAGTGATTTGTGACGGATACAGTTTAGCTATTAAAAAAGTTAACTTTCTGTACATTTTTAATTTATTTACTGAGGATAGGTCACTTATTTCGATAGTGAATAGTAAGATGAATTGTAAGTTAAAAATGTTTATTAGACTGAGCAGAAACTTTTACAAATCGTGGAGAATACCCATTGGAACATTAGATTGAAAAGAACAAGAAGTTCAGCAAAGATGGAGATCTTTCCGGCGATTTCAATCTCAAAGGCACCTGTACAATCGCATTTATATAGATTAATTTACATGGATACAATTCTTATTCGTTTAATTCCACATAGTAACGAAGGTGATAATAATTTTCAACTTGATATGGAAGTTTGAAGGTAGGAATATAGATTACAAGGGGCTTAGGGACGAGATTGCATAGGATTAGAAAACAGTTACAACGTATGCAAAATTAATATTTGATAGTTGGAGAAATAAATTTAAAGGCGAATCAAAGGTGATAGTTGTTTTCAACTTGATATGAATTACACGAGGTTTTAGAGACGCAGGGATAAAACGAATTACAGGTGTGAACAAAATGAGCATGGAAACAAATTGAAATCAAAATTTTCAACTTTAAATGTAAGTTAGGAGGTTCGAATATAGATTACAAGAGGCATAGAAACAAAAAATTACACAGGATTAGAATATAATTGTAAAATGGTTATTCTAAACCGATTACAAGTGTGATCAAGTGGAGCATGGAAACAAACTTAAAATAACTGATTTTATAACTGGGAAATAGGATGAATTGAATGAAGGCAAAGAGAGAAAATTACACACACAGATAACAAAACAAAAAACTGACGGCAACATACCGAACTAAGTCCATGGTAGTTATAAAGGCTGGACTAGTTTCTTTTGAACACACAGCTCCGGCTAAACGATGCATATGGTGAGAGCTTCCGCAGTACAAAGAAGTCGTGAACACACTGCCTTTGGCAGATTTTTGTTTACTTTGTAAATGACTCTAAATGATGAGTTGGTTGAGATTCTGTGACAGGTACTGACGAGATGTTCAGTTATTGCGCTTCTGATTGAACCGGTGCCTCCTCTTTGCAGCCATACTGAGTGATGTTCTCTAACACGTTTTGATAAGACCCGCATAGAACGACCTATGTAACTAGCTCCTCAAGAGCAGGTGAACTGATAAATGCACATTGAAGTGATCATATGCGGAAGTCTGTTCTTCCCGCAGTAGTGGGCGGCTAGAGATTATCACTGTTACAGTTGCTGCCGGAAAAGTCTTCTTCAGGGAAATGGAGATTCTCCTCTTAAGAATATCTGCTGCTAGGTCTCCCCTGAATTCCAGATTCAAATAGAGTGTCTTCTTTTGCACTGAAGCGTATTCTTCTCTTTTTGGCCTTGGTTTCATGTTCTTTTAGACGAAACGCGGTGCGTATCCATTTTGAAGCAGGATGCTTTTGAGAAATAAGAGCTCTTCTTCTAAACAGTCATCGCTACAAATTCTTCTGGTACGGTGGGCTAGCGAGATGACAAAAGCTCTTTTACGGCTGATAGGTATGCAACTGTAGAAGTTTGTCAGTTGGCCATTCCATGTTGGCTTCCTGTGGATAGATCTTTTGAGAGTTCCGTCATCTCTCCTTGTCAATTCGACGTCCAGGAGGGGAATCTTTGATTCATTTTCGACTTCCATTGTGAATTTAATTGAAGGATGGCAGTTATTAAACTCCTGTAAGATATAATTGACACACAAAAGTCTCTGTTTCTCCATAACAACTATTCTGTGACTATATGTTGTATAAATTGTGTCCCAAAGTGCGTCGGTGGCACAGCGGTTAGAACGCTAGGCAACCATGCCCATAATCCGGGGTTCGATTCCCAGCCGACGAACTCCTTTACCTCGATAAGACTGGAATAAAGCTGGTAAAGAGAAAAAGTTCGGTATGAGGCTAGCAACTCCATCCTGTAAAAATAAACACTGCTACAGAAACTTCAAGCCACTAGCTTGAAGCCCTATGTTCCACTGGGAACGTGAAGGAAAAAAGTGTTCCAAAACATAACACAGTTAACAATAAACGTAGAGTTCCCTCTTAGAAGTATACATTTGCACTTTTCATGGAGGGACGTTTATATTTACTGACATTATGAGTGACTTGCTCCAATTCAAACGAATCATGAGACTGCATGGTTTGTCGAAGGAAGATAAACTTGCCTTGAGTCAAAATCAGTTATGTATATGGGTGACCCAAGAATCTAAAACAAACGGCGATTCAAACAACCTTGGTTACCAGTAACCACGGAGAAGTAATTTAAGATTATCTTCCATTGTTTCGTAGGTCAGAAAGTCAAAAAATTCAAAGGTTGATTCTTCAAGACAACCCACCTGTTTTAGTTTTACGACTGGGTTATTATTTTAATCCTCAGTAACAATGAAGAATTGTTTTTTTTACATTCACGTTCCCATTGGAACATAGGGATCCAAGCTGAAGGCTTGAAGATTCCGTAGCTGTGTTGATTTTTACAGGATGGGGTTGCTATCCTCATGCCCAACGTTTCCTCTTTACCAGTCTCACTAATGGCTTAGCGAGGTAAAGGTGTGCGCCGGCCGGGGATCGAACCCCGTACCATGTGCATGGTCGGCGAGCGTCTTAACCGCTGTGCTACCGACGCACAACAATGAAGAATATGAAACTCCAAACACTTGAATTTCGCAAGATTCTGTAGTTATACAACATGCACCCACTAAGTCTTCGCTTTCGCCAAGTAGTTGTTAGTCTATAAAAGAAAAACTGAAAGCATTTATTGTCGCTTTTTTTGCTCTTGAATTTATTTCTGTCTTCCAGATGCTTTTTGGTTGCCTGAAATTCTTATTTCTGTAGTTTTCGGTCTTCGAACAGTGGCCTTTGCAAAGCGGCATACCACTGCGATCTGAAACACAGTTAACCTGTCACCACGTGTACGGTTTAAGCTTTGAGGACGTCCTCAGTGCGAAGAGCAGCCAACACGAAGATCAGGTTATGGCTTTATAAGGCATCAATAATAGGGTGTGACTCGCCTCAGAGATCTAGCAAAGTGCTTCGAATCACATCTGCAACTACTAGCTGACATAATATACCTATTTAAGGACTCTCAGAAATTGCAATATGATAACAAAGAGATAGTCAACCTATGACGTAGGTGTATGAAGCAAAGAGGTTTTATACAACAAAAACACTAAGTGATAAATCACGAGTCACTAAATGGAGTTAGATATATTGTGCAGATGATTAGGTAAAGATGCTATCACAAAGGCCAGAAATTGCTTTAAATACTATCTTGTATCAGTCAACACTAAAAAATGGCGATCATTCTGTAACTGTCTCGTTTCTTTTGTTTTTAAAAAGTAATATGAATTAATGAAAAGTTGCCAGCATTTGCATTATGAAAATAAGTAGATTATTGTTATGTTATTCACCAACTTTTCACTCTTCAAACTTCTCTACATATTGTTGGTATGTTAGTGAAGTACATCCCATTTTTTGGTATCCATAATATCCTGGCCTGTTCGAAAATATGTCGATATCAATAATTAAGACACATGCACACTATTTAAGACAAATTAATTTGTTTAATGAGATTAACATCTCTTTCGTTCTTGTTAAGTTATCCATTTTCAAAACTGCATGTTATTCTAAAAACAGACAATATTCTTCATTCTAGATGCCTTGAAATGTACTCAACTGCTCGATTTAACATAAAACAGTATTTAGTAATGTGTTTCCATGGTAGCTAGGCTGAAAAGCAAAAGAGCTTGGCATGAGGATAACAGCCCCATTTCTTGAAAACAACCCACAGCTACTGAAACTACCTGACTGACTTTAGCGACTGACCGATTGACTTGTTATTGTCAGGGAATAATCTCCTTGACTCAGAATATTCAGATGATATAGTCCTATCTACTAGGTGGAGACTCTGGCAGAATGCACAGTCTTCTGAGCACACTGACCTGCAATATGAGAATGTTTCGCATATGATTCACTCCTTCTGTCAAATGTATGATGATGCTATACGACTGACTGAACTACATTGACTCCTAGTTTAAAAAATAGGCAGGAGTGAAGTGGTTGGTGGGGCGTGTTGACCACTTCACTTATTCGAGAGTTTGAATCAACCAGTGACAGTGAGTTGATTGATCACGAAATCTCACCACCGATACAGAAGACTCGTTTGGCATTTACATGCCAACTTACACTACCTCTACCGTAGTAGACGTGATATCCGGCTAGCTGGCTGTCGACCGAATGGCGTGTGTACTGCTCAAAAGTTCGCTCTGCCCTCTTCTTTTATGACAGCTGTGAGACAGACATGGTCATCGAAAGTGGAAGACATGAAAAGGCTAGTTAGCTATCTTTGATTATGTGTATCTGCGTTCTAACTCCCGTGTGAAGTAGTATAATACGGTGTGTAGTAATGAGGTTAGGCTTTGGGTAGAGTGATAGCTAGGTAAGGAGGCGAAATCAATAGACGAGGCTGTGTGGTTACACAGATTGAGATGGTTAAGACATGTGTTACGCATTCCTAGCCTAGCCATCGCCTTTCTCGACCGACAGTCAATGTTAGTTGACATAGGATAGATCAGGTTGGAAAGGAGTTGTCTAGTGGTGGTCAAACTGAAACATGGCTTCATCACTCAGTCGATGAAATCCACAAAAGTTAGTTTAAGCCAGCCAGCCAGCTATGTAGGGAGGTGAACACTGGCTTCCTGACTGGTTGGGTTCGTTAGGATGACACAAACAAATGAAAGCTGGAAACAATTGATGATACGGCTCAAAATCGTTCTGAATAGCTGGCGCAGACGCATCCACTCTTTGTGACTTATAATATCTAAAAAAAATTATTTTATTCTTCCATATTATTATTCTTTTTCCGTCACTCACACTTCTGTTTATTATCTCGTATCATCTCTTTCTCCACTCTCTTCTCTTGCTTTGTATGCTGAGCATCTGTACAAAGTTGTACATTGAAACCAGTGAGTTACTGAAATTTCAAAGCTTAAAGTCTTATATTCTACTTACTTTACTTTACTTTACTTTACTTCGGCTATCTCCTACGGGAGGATGAGCCGGCTTCATGAACGTCTCGAATCATCGCTGCCCAGGCGCGGCAATTTGTAAGAGAGTTCATGAAGTTTCATGGGAATTTGGTACGAGTGATGTCCCCAGCATCGCTCGGCCTTTGTTTGAGAGTGCAGCTCTAGCCTTTACACAACCAAGTGTGACCTACAAGGCAGTAGGAGTGGAGTAAGGAGTCCACTATCCATTGGCAGCCGGTGACCGGAGTTCGGTTCATACGCCTTTTTGAATGGGGCCAGACATCCAGGACATCCAACAAGCCCTTTGTCCATACGTCTGCCGGTGAGCTCCAGTGAGCTTCATACGCCAGTCGTTGGAGGTTTGGAATCAGGGTTTAGCCATCTCCCCTAGACCGTCATCCAATGGACAGTCAACCCGATGGAGAGCGCCGGGCATCCGCTTCCGCCCTCTCACTTTGGTGAGAAACACCTCCGCCACGTGAAGGCAGTGAGTAGGACTTCCTCAGGAGAGGCTATGTAAGACGCCCGGTCATATGGGAGCATTTCAAGAGGTGTGCGGAGGGGTGGCCAACCCGCAGCGCAAGGCACCCACCCCCGACCATCCTGAGGCTTTGGAGGCCGAATGTAAGGAATGCAAAAAATTATGCAGCACGACAATCTTATCGATCATTAGGAACAATTAGTTACTGACTAAATACAAATGCAAAATTAGACGCTAAGGGAATATAGAAATTTGATTCGATTACCATACGATAGATAGCTTTCAGCGTAAATAAATATTTTTGTTTAAAGTAAAATAAAACTGCCTATAAGTATTAAGTGTCATGCCCTAAGGCATCTTTTCCAAAAAATAAAAACAAATTTAATTACAAAAATAAATGTTGTTATTCAAAAAAAACAACAAGAAAAAGTAATTACTCTGTAGTGTTTTTCTTCTTCTCTTCAATAACAACAGCAGTTGGTTTAGTCACTTTAGCAAAACAATGTTCAATAACTCCACTGAACAATGATCCATCATTATTTGAACATGTAGAGGCTGAATTATTTTTTTTTGTTTGTTCATCACAGCACAATGTTCGTATTTGATGTAAATATGTCATCATACTGAGTAGATCAGGTGGTCGAGTTTTAGAAACTACTTCACTTGGATCTAACATTCGAGGTACACCCAATTTAGAAGCAACATCAAATGCCAAACGACAGTTTTGAGAAGGATTATCCGGTGACAGTGAATCATAATCACTATAATAAAAAATAAAAAAACATGTATGTGTAGAAAAATAATTCTGATAATATAAGAAAAAGTCAAGATAGATAAGTTGTAAAACAAAAAACGATTTCAGAAAACAAAAAAAACTCTCATGACAACATGAAGACACTAACTAATACGACGTTAAATTGACGAAGAAAATATTTTTCTTCTTGTTAAACACTGAATTTAAGATAACTAATGGTCGACTTATCAACAAATCACAGCTTTCTTAACATAAGCTAACAATAAGAAAATAATACAACCTATGAATTCCACGTCGGTGGCACAGAGGTTAGGACGCTCGCCGACCATGCACATGGTCCGGGGTTCGATTCCCGGTCAATGAACGCACTCCTTTACGTTGCTAAGCCAGAAATAATGCTGGTTAAGAGGAAAGGTTGGGCATGAGGCCAGTAACCCCATCCTGTAAAAATTAAGCACTGCTACAGAAACTCCAAGCCACTAACTTGAGGCCCTTCGTCCCACTGGGAACGGGAACGAAAGAAAAAATATTCATTGACTAACTTAGTACATACAAAACAGAACATTTGTAGCTTTAAGTGCTAGTGTTTTGAATGAATCGTTCTTTAAAAAAAGACACACACACACACCTTTCGAATAAAGACTTCAATTACATTTTAGTCATAGCCTTTAAAGCGACTTCATGGACTGTTAAAGACTTGAACAGAAGATGACTATATCGTTAATGAAGATTCGGCGGTTACAAGGAGATCAGTTTGTAGAGAAAAGCTGTCAACACTTCTGCAGGTATGAAGTGTACATCAATAAAAAAGCTTTCAATTGAAGTTTGTTTACTCAAAGTTGCCAGTGAAGTTGTCTTCGATTCGAAGCAAAGAGCGGAAGCCATGTTCGTATGAAGAGGTATCAACAACAAAAGTTGTTGATACATCACAAATCATTCTAATTCTTTTTTTAAAATATCCCAACATTGTTAAGTCAATCGGCTATTACAGCTTTTTACATTCACAAAATGACTACTATATTATTATTGTTCCCTTAGGCTTCAACAGCACATCTGCACTTTGTCCAATATTGTTAGGTCCTCTATAGCTAGCTAGCTCCACGACTGCTCATAGTCTCTGATCTTCTCCCCTCACGATCTCCTTCATGTCACACTCATCGTTTCCCATTTGGATTCCACTCGAGAGTCTAAATCCCGATATCATTTGACAGTCTCTTCAGTGTGTGTCTGATCCACCCCCACATATTTATTGATCAATAGATTTCTTGATTGGTTTATTCCCAGAGTTTCTTGTTGCAAATTTTTTTCGGCCAACCATTTGATCCTTAATATTGAGTCAGCGAAGGCAGATGCTGAAGAAAGTCTCCCCTGACGCGTGCAACAAGTTTCTGATGCATATGAAAGAACTTACTTAACATTTATGTTGAAAATCAATCTCTTTTTCTTTATGATGATTGAAGTAGATTTCCAAATTGATTTCATAGTGTTGAAACGATACTGCCCCAGATAAGTGAAGACAGTCACCTCTTTCAAATTTATCCCATTGATGCGGATTCGTGCTTCTTGTTGTTGTTGCCGTTGGCTGGTTAGTTAGTTAGTTGGTTACTTTCATCACCTCTTTCTTCTTTATATTCACATGGAGTCCCATCTCAGCTGACTGCTTCTTCAACCAGTGTTTTTTTGTTTTCGCCTGTAGGTCTTTGAGTTATTTGTATGTCATTAAACATAAATTCGGCTACGAAATCAAAATCTTCTATTGTTGTTATCGGTCCAATGTATTCATTTCTTCTTGCTCCCCGCAGTCCGTCATAAATGGGAATGTCATCGGGGATAAAAGACAGTCTTTTCTTACTCCTATATTCACTACAAACATATTGCTGGATTTTTCCTTGTGGATCACATTGACACATGCCATTCTCATATAAACCTTTGAGTTAAAAGTAAACTTAACAATAAGATAACACCAGTACACTTTTTTGATATCTCGTGTTGCATAATGTGCTAAAATAATGAGCAAGTAAGGAAATGAAATTCACTCGATATTTAGGGACAAACAAAATGTGTAAACTGAAATTCACGCAAAAAAGTCGACAATGAAATATCAGGTCAGAATGAAACACATATGAACAATGAGTCAAATTAAGATATCATTATTATTTTGATTTAAGTTTCAAAGTTACATTAATTCGTACAATTAGTAATAACAAAATGTAGAAAAATTCATATTACCGGCAATTATGACAGTTATATACAAAGGTTGAAGATATATACACACACCATATATTATATATATATATAACAATGAGACAAATCATCGATGTATCAATCAAGAGAAATAATAATTTTTTAAAAACGTCTACATTTGGTACCTTATATGAATGTAATTTGCGAAATAAATAAGTCATAGAAAACACACAGGATTAATTAAAAAGTAGCAGAGAATTTTGATGTGGTTTTGTTCTCTGAGCTGGATGGTTAGTTTGCGAAACTTTCATCACCCTACTGGGTGACATCTTCAGCGCATACTTCAAATTGAAGTATGGAGCCCTATGTTCCACTGGGAACATGAAGGAAAAATTATTTATTTATTATAAACTGGATTTACTACCTACACAGCGTTAATATGGTTAAAATAGAAGCAAATTTTAACAAACGAATGCTTAGACAAATTATAATCACATTTTATTGATATAAGCATTGAATATGAGCACTGTGATAGGGTATACTTCCATCATTGAGGAAATTGATTAGATAAAATTATACAGTGAGATATAGAATTATTTATTGATGATGTTTCGAGTACAACTTATCGCTCATAATCATATATCAAGGCAATTACATAAATTTTCAACTTCGTTTATATAATATTATTAGGTCTTATCCCTTTATTCGATTAGTAATCATACTTTGCATATCTCAGGTATTGGCGATGAGTCTCAGTAAATATAATACGGTTTCACTGTATGATATTATCAAGTACTCTATAGTAGAATGTCACTGTATTCATGTCCAAGAGTGTAAAATAGTGTGACTTAAGATTTCGGAGCGATGGAAGCGCGTGAATTGATATAACAAGTGATGAAGACCATTCCCAACCAAATACGGAACATGTATGAATCCCGGCGGGTGCGTACTGCTGAAGAGTCCCAAACTAGGACGAAACAGCTGTCCAGTACTCCCAGGTTATCTAACTAATGTCAGCTCATGATGAAATCCTGTAACCAAATACGGAACATTCTGTCATCTTCCACTCATCAGGTTTGCTTGAATCCTATGTACTTTCGTGCTGTAAAGAAAGTGTATTTCCAAATCATGATTATGACTAAAGGTGCATAACGCTTGCACTGTCTTATCAAGCAGTTTCTAACATAGAGTATTCCGAGACAACGTCAGCTTCACAATCAGATCAAACTGATGATCAATAGCTCCCTCCATAAACATGTAGGAAGTGTCTTCAATTTTCTTCTAACATAATCCAACAGTAATAATTGTAACGTATGGATCATACAACTTCTCTAAACGTCTGGGTTGATGCTTGAAGATAATCCATCATATATGACAGGTATTAAAGACATAGTTATGTTGAAATTACTGTCATCTTATAATAGTACTTAACATTCATATACTAAATGTGGTGTAAGACAAACATATTTGTCACACAGACTACTCATCTATTGATCTGGAATAGCATAGTTTTCAACGTGCTATACCTTAACTAACACTCGTCTACTGAGAATTAAATCACTATGACAATACCTATATCATTCACTGAATTTTTGACAATATCAGAAAAGTAAGCATCAGGTTTATCTATGACTCTGCATCACAAGACCTTTTGACGCATTTATACCAGCTTTCACAGCAATCAGTAAAATCACCGAGTCAAGAGATAAATACTCCGTTATTCTGATGGAATTCAACACTCTTCCCATATGTTATACTTTTCTGTAACCACCTTCGTCAGTTATCAACCATTAGTACATTGATTCTTCATCATACACAGAAGCTGAAGTCCTGTAAACACTGATTATAGTGTTTACATAGTGTTTTTCGAACCTACATATTCTCTTCTTGTCTATACTAATAAATTTCCAAGTTGACCGATCAAGAGACTGAAAATAAAAGATTTTTAGAAACGAGAGCAGATTTAGCGAAGAAATATATTCCTTTCCAATTAGTTTCTTATCATCGGCTAGTTGTACGCTAATATATACTTTTTGCATCATAATTTTTACCAATCAAGTAGTTATCTTAGTTAATCCGTTTTAGGTATAGGAGAGGAGGTTAGAAGTCATCAAAACAGTTAACTAATTAATGTTAGCAAAAAGATATCTAAGTTTTGAAGGAGGGTTGAAAATTAATTACGGAATTTGAGATAGGTCAATTCATAGGCGTTATCAACAAGTTATTACGTAATCGAGAAATTTGGGAAATAATGATGACCCAGAAGAATTACCTAAAAATACAAACAAGTTAATAAAATTAGCCAGAATTGTAAAAATCAACGAAGGCAAAACATAGTTACAAGGGGAGGGGAAGAATCGTTTTTAAAAACTTAGTACATGTTATGTTGTTGGTCATGGCAAAGAAAGGGGCTGTACAAATTTCTTTTGAATGCACACACAGATTTGGCTCGTTCAGATAAATTCCGATTACCTCTGCTGTGTGTAAAAGTCGTACCCATAGAGTAGGCGAGAAGTTGCGTGGAATAAGATAAATAACTTTAAAAGCTTCATTAGAGTTGACTTGATGTCCAGTATCGACGAGATGAGCTAGTATTGAGCTGTGTATAGCTTTATTCGGACCTCTGCCAAACCAAGGTGAGAGGTGTTTAGAAATTAATTTTCTTAATTTTTCACGACTCCGCAATTAATTTTCGCACACACGCACACCCCTTCAAAACTTAGATATCTTGTTACTAACATCGATTAGTTAAATTGTTTTCATAACTTTTAACTTCTTAATTTCACCCCTCCCCCCCCCACACACACACACACCTAAAATGGAGGTTGGTAAAAATTATTATGTAAAAAGGTATATATTAGTGTAGAGCTAGCCGATGATGAGGAACTAATTGAAAAGGGATATATTTCTTCGCTCAATCTACTGTTTTTTGTCTGAATGCTTAAATGGGAATTACACATTAAGATTATGGTAAATGAGCGTTAGGCACCACCAAATACATTTGAACACAGTACATTTCATAATCGCGTCAGACTGTGATAGAATATTTCTTCATCATAAAATTAAATATGCTCTTACACGATTAAGCAGAATAAAAATATGCAATGAATTCTGAGAAATCGTCTTTTTTGCTCTGTTTAAATACCTGACAATATAATAATAATTTAACAAACTATATGTGAGTCGGTGGTTCAGCGGTAGAACTCTTGCCAACCGCTCAAGTGGTCCAGAGTTCGACCCTCAGCCAACCCACTCCTAAACCTCGCTAATCCGGTAGTAGGGCCAATGAAGAGGGAAGTATGGGCATGAGGATAGTAACCCAACCCCGTAAAAATAAAAAACCCACTGCTACGGAAACCTCAGAACTCTAGCTTGAAGCCTTATGTGCCACTTGGAATGTAAAAGAATAAGAATAAATAAATAAATAATTTATGTACGATTCATTAAAAAATATTTTAATGACAAATTCAGCTACCTTTACATAGGATTTAAAAACTAACTCGTAGAATAGATTTATACCTAGCAGGCGCACTAGTTCAGTGACAGCAACCCCATAAAGTAGCATAAGTATTCAATTTACAACATTGAGACGAATAGACTGACTCCTTGTAAGCTTTCGCTCAACAGTGCGAATAATACTAATGAGCAGAATGCGCAGGAGAATATATCTAGGAAACATTCAAGTCTATAAAAAAGATCTTATCTCCTCATAAAACATAAATTAATTAGTGTAACCATATATGAGAATCTTATACTGGTAGACAGATGACTGTAGATAAGATAACAGTTTGGTTTGAGGAAGAATTTAAACCAGTGGCTTGCGATTTCATCAAAAGCTTAAGTGATTAAAAAAAAATATCGGAAATAAAGAATAATCAAACGAGTTTTTACCTGCCCATAGAGTATGTTTACACAGTAACCGCTCAATACGGTGTTGACAGCATCAGTGAGTTATGAATTTATTCACGTAATATATATAATAATAAACAGCTTTATTCCAAATAGTATTTGTGGTACAGTTATGGAATTACTATATATTGCATCTAATTACATCATAAATTTTATAAGATTTTAAGATCAAAAAGCAACAGAAAAAAAAAGATTAAAAAATTTTAAAAAAAACAGCGTTTACATTTTAAACAATGCACCACAGGATATGAAATATAAAATTTGTGTGTAGTAGAAGATGGGAACAACAGTATGATAGTAACGAAGAAAGGAAAACAAAAACTAATGGGACTATTTGTTAGAGTGCCGCAGTAAGTTTATCGTGTCATACCTAACGGATTTCTCATCACATAACAGCTGTGCCAGATATGGTATTGTGGAGATTTTGTATTTGGTAGTCCTAGCATATAGCCGCCTATAGCTGCTTCTAGTTCTACCGGATGAAATGCAAGGTGACAGCTGCGTACAGAGAGGATGCTCGAGGTCTGACAATATTGTATTCGCTAGTTTCTTACATGACATTATATGTCTATCCACAATAGTGTTAACCAGTTGGTTTAACGATATCCCACTTGCCCTACTAACAGCTTTTAGTGCCCTTCTCAGCAAAGCAAAGTCTTTCATAAGTAGTCCAGGAACGATTAATGGGGAACAGTAAAGAAGGATGAGTAGAATACAAGAATTGACGAACTGAGAAAGCAAATACTGCTTTATGCCAGACTGCCTAAATTTCCTCTAACGTAGAACGTTAGGCGAAACATCTTTCTAGTAACTAGCAAGATGTAAGAGGACCAGGAAAGATCGATGGAAAAACTCAGCCTAAGCTACTTGACATTAGATGTATTTTCAATATATATATATATATATATATATATATATATATATATATATATATATATTCCTTCACGTTCCAAGTGGAACATACGGCTTCAAGCTAGAGGCTTGCAGTTTCGGTAGTAGTGGTGTTTATTTTTACGGGATGAGGTTGCTAGCCGCATACCCAATCTTCTCTCTTTGTCAGTCTTAGTACTGGTTTAACGAGGTAGAGGAGCGCATCGACCATATATATATATATATATATATACATAACTAAAAACATTCAATTTTGGAGTTTCATATATTATTATTATATTATTATTTTTCCCTTGGGTTCCTAGTGGAACGTAAAGCTTCAACTGCATGTCTCCACTTGCTTCTGTCTTTTGCTGTACTTTTCACCTGCATCCATGTTAGTCCATACAGTTTCAGCTCCCCTTCACACGACCTCCTCCATGTCACCCTTGGACGTCCCACTCGCCGCTTCCCATTCTGTCGGGTTCCACTCGACCAATGGCCTGACGCGCGATGTCACCCAATCCACCTCCACTTTCTCCTGCATATTTTTTGGTTGGCGATTGGTTCTTGCCTTGTTTGTTCCCATAGTTCTTTGTTGGTGATTCTTTCCGGCCATCTGATCTTCAGTATAGAACGAAGACAGTTGTTAATAAAGGTCTGCAACAGGCTGTTGGAAATATTCTTTGTGACCCTCCAAGTTTCTGATCCGTATAGAAGAACTGACTGACTTGACGTTTGTATTGAAAATCCGACTGAATTTTGTTGTTGATGATGGCTGAGTGAGGAAGATTTCCAGATTGGTTTCAGGTTGATGAATGTGTTTCTCGCTCGCCTTCCCGATTCTCGATTTGACAAAGTTTAATACACACATTAAGAAATCTATGGGTTGTATAATTCATTTGAACAGTCAAATGAAAGAGATATTTGGCAAATCCTATGTGTAGTCTCAAGGGATTACCAGTTATCAGATATTAAAATTTACCGAATACTCTTAATACATGAAGTCTATAGAAAATTCAATTTGCATATGAACTTTTATAAATGACCTGTAAATAATAAATTTAGATGGGAATTACAAGTTTAATGTACAAACACAGAGAATCATATTAATTAGTTAATTAATTAATGGATTTCTATTTCGCAGAACAAAAAAGAAAGAGAAAACAACTTACATTCGATCTGGGAAAAAGTGATGTAAGATAGCGCAAAGTGCCAAACCATTTTGAAATGATGTAGTAAGATCAATTATCTGTATATTATCATAATCTTTAGTCACTTTTTGACACCATACGAGCAGATCATATCGACTTTGAGTTGACATAGCTTTTAATCTATTTTACACATGTACAGAAAACAAGAAACAAAACAAATATACAGGGGTAATTAAATCAGCAGGTAGATATAAACCCGAAATTTTTAAATTATATATATGCTCAGATAAGAATTCACTAAGGTATCCTTCGGAAACTAAAAATATTCAGATCACAGTAGGAAATAAAGCCGCATAAACGACCTGGTACGGTCAAGATGAACTTAGCACTTCCTCTCGAAATGTTCTCATATCATCACGCGTACAAAGCCTCTGTAAAGTAGGTGCTATTCACTACTTTCATGCAGTGGGGATGTTGCCTACAAAAGTGAAGGGGAGAATAAGAACTGGACTGGTGACATGCTGGTCTACCGGGCGGAGCTGGAAAACTCTAAATCCAAACCTATGATGTACGTGGACTCCAGAATCCTAAAGGAAGAAATGGCATATCAACTTGTCTCAGTCACCAAAATCCATGGGAATGTAGCACCTGGAGCTGCTCCAGTGTCTTGCAGATCAGAATTCAATTCAATCGCTTCTTAAGACCACCATCTATTTCAGGGTTGGAATTCCGAGCCTCACACCCAACCTTCTCTGTTTTCCATGCTTACTGCTGGTTAATAGACTAAGTGAGATGGTTTAGGAGTGTGCCGACTGGAGGTCGATCCTGGACCACGTGTGTGTGTGGTTGTTACAGTATTCTTCATTATAACTCACCATATGTATATACTTTTTATCCTGCTAAGTATAAAATTCATACAGCCAGGTGAGGGCTTACGGCGAGTTGTCATCTGAACTGGTGACGACTAGCGGTGTCCGTCAAGGATTCCCATTATCTCCTTTTCTATTCAAATTCATCATAGATGTACTAATGGACTAAACTCTAACTCACTTCAGCTACCAGGGAGTAATCTCGTTGACTTAGAATATGCAGACGATATAGTCCTTCTAGGCGAGGACGCTGAAAAAATGCAGAGTCTTCCAAACACTTTGAGCCGCAATCTACGAATGTTTGGCATGCGATTCGCTCCCGCCAAATGCAAGATGATGTTACAGGACTGAACTACACAGACTCCTAGTTTAAAAATAGAAGGTGAATTGGTAGAGCTGGTTGACCGCTTCACTTATTTGGGAAGTACCATCAGCCAGTGCCAACGGGTTGATCTCCGATGAAATCTCACCACGGATACAAGGGGCTCGATTCGCATTTGCCAGTTTACGCCGTCTCCGTCGTAGACGAGATATTCGACTATCGACCAAAGGGCGGGTGTACTGCTCATCAGTCCGCTCCGTCCTCCTGTATGGTTGTGAGACCTGGCCACTGAGAGTGGAAGACACGAAAAGACTAGCTGTCTTTGATCATAGGTGCCTGCGTTCTATCTCCCGTGTGAAGTGGTATAATAAGGTGAGCAATATTGAGGTTAGGCGTCGAGTGCTAGGTAAACAGGGGAAATCAATCGATGAGGTTGTGAAGTTACATCGACTGAGATGGTTAGGACATGTGTTACGTATGCCAAGTCATCGCCTTCCTCGACAACAGGCAATGTTAGCGGATATAGGGTCAGGCTGAAAAAGAGCTAGCGGTGGTCAAACAAAAACATGGCACCAGTCAATGAAATCTACAACAGTTAGTCTAAGCCAGCCACGTATGAAGGTGTAGACTTCCTGGTTGGGGTCCTCGGGACGGTAAAATCCAATGGTTGGAAACAATTGGTGACATGGCTCAAAACCGTTCTCAGTGGCGCAGATGCATCCACTCCCTGTGACTTATGATCTTCAATGAAACTGTTTTGTATTTCTTTATTACTCCTTTGTCTCACACCTCTGCTCACTGTTTTTATTATGCTTTTCTTGTACTTTCTCCTCTTGCTTTGTGTGCTACAAGGAGGGAGTGTGGCGACTTGAACTGGCGCACATATGTGCAAAGTTCTATGTCGAAAACAGACAGACAGACATACTGGTATGTCTATTTAAATTATTCATTCTCACTTCCCTTAGGAAGCTGCATTAAAGACAGAAAATTGTGTAGCGATTCGCGTGAATTCGTGCTTGCTTTTTGTTCATAACAATAAAGCCTTTCTCATACTATTTAAGGTTATTATGCTCTGATGTCATTATTAATTAGGGAATAAGCATAAAAGCTAATTACTATTCCAAATGAAATGACTAACCCTAATTATATATATATATATATATGCTTTCATTTTTAAGCATCTGAGAAAATAGTTCATTAAAATTTTAAAAATAACAATGCAGGGACTACGATGTTTAATCACATCCCTTGTTGTGTGTGTTATTTCCTGTGCACATTCAAACACATTTTATCACAAAAAGGAAAACTTCGGTTTCTGTTTTTCTTTTCTTCTCACAACTAGATTTTCAACCTATCACAGTTAATAATCATAACGTGAAATTTTTACTGTAGTTTAGAGAAAATTTGTATGAATAAAAAAGTGATCGTTTATTAGTGTTTACTAACTTAATAGTTAGCCATTGCGACTTCATATTGTCTGAAAAGTAATACGAATTAGCGAATTATCAAGACGGCTGTAGGGCAGAGTTCTTTTCCCAAATCACATCACACTTACATACGTTGTGAAAAATGCATATGGGACAAAAGTGATTATATCTTAAAATATTAAAATCCCGACCGAAAGCTGCTACCTTGACGTGGTGGTCGGGCTTGAACACCGCAATGATCTATTCAAGCTATACTGGCTGAGACTTATGTCTCTTGAGGTCTACCATGCCAGGCAGGTTGTTTGGATAGCGGTTAAACAAAAAGCAGCTACCCAATCCAACATCATGTCCAATACAAAATTACAAAATTTCATGCCGGATCGGCCGTGGCCCGGATTAACAACGACCGCGCTTCCTGCTGCCGTGTCACAGGGCAGGAGTGATAAATCTGCTACTGAGACACACCAAACAAAAAGAACGAACAAAAACAGGCCGCGTGTGACCGGCCTCAAGCAGTTGTCCCCTGGGCTCTGCGGTCACGCAACCAACTTCCACGGTGTGGGCAGCCGGGAAGTAACAATCGCCCTCACAATCCGAAATGCACACGAAACCTCTCTATTACTCACTCATCTTTGTCTTCATCTTCATCTCTATCATCTTGCCTTCCTTCCACTGATGCAACTCCTCGACTTGATAGCTCTCCACTTCCTCTCCACTCTGCGTCCACTAAAAACGATGGAAGCCAAAAAACCACCACCGACAGCCTCTTAAAGCCGCGCCACCAATTTCATATAGGAGCTCTTAATGTTAGGACACTTTGCCAAATAGGACAACAAGCATCACTAGCCAAGACCCTGGCATCACGAGCCATTGATGTATGCTGTGTTTCAGAAACACGCATACAAGACCCAAGTGTGGTTATTCACCTAACCCCACCTGGCCAACAGGTTGAATCTGCAAAATTCACCTTGAGGGTGTCAGGAGATGCCACAGCTAGTTCACGAGGATTAGCTGGCGTAGGGATAGCTTTGAGTACTAGGGCAGAAAAGACATTGCTTGACTGGATCCCGGTAGATAGCCGAATGTGTGCTGTCCGCCTGAACGGATCAGTAAGAAGGAGGAAGGACTGCACTACTCGCCGATGCCTTTTCGTAATCTCCGCCTACGCCCCCACTGACTGCAGTTCAGATGAAACGAAGGATGAGTTCTACCAAAAGCTGTCTAGTTTGGTGGAAAGGCTAAACGCTCAGACATAGTCGTTCTAGCTGGTGACTTTAACGCTCAAGTAGGGAAATTGTGTCAATCTGAGAAGGATGTCGGTGGCACCTATGGAGTTCCGTGCCAGCGAACCGACAACGGTGACCGTCTCCTACAGTTCTGCTCTGATAATCATTTGTTTCTTGTAAGCACTAACTTCAAACACAAGGAGAGACACTGTTTGACTTGGAGACCCCCTTCATCAAACCAACGCTGGACACAAATAGACCACATAGCAATAAGCTATCGTTGGCGTGGGTCGGTAGGAGATTGTCGCTCCTTCTGGAACACGTGCGTAGATACCGACCATGCACTGGTCCGCGCTCGGGTGTGCTTACGACTGAACGGACGTAGGAAACAGCTGGCGGTAAAACCATCACGTCCCCAGCTCGATCAGGAAACTAAATCCGTATTTCAGGAAGAACTAGCTAAACACATATCTGTGTTCGACAGCTGTGCTCACCCTGAAGAAGCTTGGAAAAATATCCAGGCAGCCATAGATACAGCTGTAAAAGCTGTGAATAAGGTAAACCCAAAGGTGAGTAAAAACCACTGGATCTCCACCGCCTCATCCGAACTGATAGATGCTAGAAGACTTATTCCGGCGAGCTCCGAATTCAATGAGGAGCGAAAGCTGCACAAGAGGAAACTTACGAAAAGTCTCCGCAAGGACCGTGAACAGTGGTGGGCGACAAAAGCCAAAGAGATGGAGAAAGCTTCGAGGATAGGCAACACCAGGCAACTCTTTGGACTCATCAGGGAAACGGGTGGGAGAAGACAAATCATTAGTGAGACAATCTCGGAAAAAAATGGCACTATAATTAGCTCCCAGGATAGACGACTGGATCGTTGGAAAGAGCATTATGAGGAGCAGTTTAATTTGCCCACAGCCACGCTCAACCTTCCGAGCATCCAACACCTCCCTGAATGGGATATAGACACAGGTCCTCCGTCACTAACTGAGGTTACTAAAGCTGTCACCAATCTGAAACTAGGCAAAGCAGCGGGACCTGATGGAATGACTCCAGAGGTATTTAAGTACGGTGGAGACAGCTTACTGTCCGGATTAACTGAGGTACTAGGCAGCGTCTGGGAATCAGAAGAAGTCCCATCGGGTTGGTGTAAGTCACTGATTATCCCCATATACAAGAAGGGAGACAAGTCTTCCTGTGATAATCACAGAGGGATTAGCTTGACTAATATAGTATCTAAAGTCTTAGGCTCAATAATCATGCGTAGACTGAGTGGTGCTCGGGAAGCACAAACACGAGAGAGCCAGGCAGGCTTTAGACCAGGAAGAGGGTG